AAAGTTTCAAATTTTCTCGAAATTTCCCCTGTCGGTGCTATTTTAAAGCAAACAAAGAGCACAGCTCGTTTTTTACACACTTTGCCAAACGAAGCACAGAAGTGAAGCAGAGAAAGTTTTCCCCTACAGGAAAGTTGCCGAAACCCGCGAAAATCAATCTCAATTTATAGAAACCACGATCATAGAGAAAGAGAGGGGTCGCAGGAACCGTGGAAAGAGTAACGACCGAAACTGAAGTTGGGTGGGAAGTTTCCCCCATGCAGGTCAGGTCCGGATACTGCCTTGAGAAAAATACAACAACTCGTTCGTATGGTCGATGGTGAAAAACTGTCGGCAGACTGCCCCGGGGCCTCATGTACAACCGTGGAAGAGAAAGTTTCGCCAAGTTGCATTAAAGTGGCTGAGGGGGCGCGTGAGGAGGGGAGGAAACAGCCGAAATTCGGGAGCGAACGTCGAGGACGGAGGCCGCGACGTATAATTTATGCGATCATAGATGTAATCACATTTGAATATTCACAACTACGCGCGTCGCCGGAGCTGGTAACTTTATAATTACCAAGTAAATTACCTTTCCTCCGCGCCTTCCGACCCTTCTTCCTCCTTCCTCCAGTGTTCGCCAACCCCTTTTCGCCAACCGGCCGCTACCACGCACCGGGAACAACCAACCAACCAACCAGCCACCCCCTCCGGGCAACCCTAGCCGGCCGAATTTATTGAAAATTAAGTCCGATTTTATCGCGCGGAAACTTTCCAATTTTCTACGGTTACTTTCGCGTTCTATTTCGACCGACCGGCGAGGAATTTGCGAGCGGGCCGCGCTGCCAGCCAGCTTAATAAACGTCACGAGCCTGATTATGCCCTCCGAAGGAGAGCAGAGCTGATCGAACTTAGCCCCGTAACGAATACGAGAGCGCGCGAGGGAACTTGAGATTGGTTCGATTGTTCGTGGAAACTTTTGATTTTTAATAGTATCTTCGATAGAATTGACATAGGGCAAGTGAGAATAGAAAAAAAAAAAAAAAAAAGAACAGAATACAACTGCAGAACAGAGTAATTGATTATTGACGGATCGTAGCTAGTGAAGTTCTGGTCTTTCATTTCTGGAAGTTTGTACCAGGGAAATAAAATTTATCATGTCTAATGTACGACCACCAGGCACTATTATTAAAATTAGTTGAAAAATTCGAAATATCAAGATTGCACAGATATAAAATAGTAACCGAAGAGTCTATTTCTCTGATTGCATTTTCACAAACATGAATACGCAGAAAAATTTACAGTCGAGCGATCATCGTCGAGGCAATAGGTAAAACTGCTCCTTTCCCTTCTATTCTTTACAAATTTTCTAAAGGATCTTCCGATTTTAAAATCTTTGATGGAACGTCTTGAAACAACCTTGGCGCAAAATAGAATCCAACGGTGGAACGAACATTAAATTTTCTATGTTCATTGTCCAGAGGAACTAGCAGAATTCCCAACGATAATAACGCGAACGTGATACACGCAGACGTAGAAATGGAAATACACAAAATACACGCCACCTTAATGGAATACAAACTTCCGTTAACTATTGTAACAGAATTATCTGAAAACTGTCAGCGAGTGACAACGAACACGGATACCCGTTAACAGGAAAGTAATGCATGTTTCGTAGCCGTAAACGATTGCCTCGAAATAGTTGGAACTCGGTCGTTGCGGGCCACCAGTGGGGAAAGTCTCCGTCGAAGGTCCTCCAACGTTCCACGGGAAATCGAATTCCATCGGTGGAAATGCTCGTACGTTTTTAGCAAACGAATTGCTCGACATTTTCCATTAATTTGCACCATTGCTGTTTGCTCGTTTTGTCGGTCGAAATATTGGACAAATTAATGTGTATACCGCCGCACGAGTTTGCAGCCACTCGTGAAAGTAGAAGCTTGAAACGAGTTAACTGTTTAAAACTTGAACGACATTGACGTCTTGATTGAAACAATCACGAAGAATCGACATTCGAAGTAACTGCTATGAAGGAATTCGAAATTCCTCTGTTGATATCGGTTTCGATTACGGTCAGTCACCCGCAAGTAGAACAAGTCAACGTATGGTCAGAAACCACAAGTAGAGTGAGTCAGTATACGGTCAGAAACCCGCAAACAGAATGAGTATATATTTCGCCTGGAAATCATCGAACACAGTAGATTTGTCTGTTCGTAGCGACAAGTCAAGAACTGGAGTTCGTTTCTCTGCAAATAAAATATACTCGTATTCTTTTTCTTTATTACCTATTTGTTAGTGAAACATCAGAATTTCTTTTTCTTTATGAGAGAAAAAGGAAAATTATATAATATCACGCAGAAAGTGAAATTGTCTATGAAATATTTCTACGACCCGTATACACTGTTCCACAATTTTCTTTGCGATACAAAAATACAAAAAAAAAAATAGAAAAAAAATTTTTTTAAGCGTAAAAAGTACATGTAGAGTTTACCTATTTGCAGTAAGGAATTTGGCAATAAAAAGGCTCAAGTTACAGTGGGTGATAATGTTTCAACCAAAGTGGAAAATCCTCGCAAACAGAAGGGGGCTAGGATTTATTTCGAATTCGACGTGAGGAGAAGCAAAACGAGTTCCCTTTATCGATAGATATCCCGGACTCCTTTCCCTACGAACTTTACGACGCCTGCTGCCTCTCTGTTTCTGCTTTTATCGGCCCATCGTTCGGTGTGTCTTTACGTGTATATCTATCCGAAGGCAGCCGGTAAGGGAGCCCGAATTTATTTATAAGTACTACCCTCCGGAGGACGACGAAGTGAAGTCGTTCCGACCGGAAAACTGTAAAATCCTCTTTACCTGTCTACGATCCCCGTCCATCAATTATATCTAGATTTCCGTGGGATGCCACGCTCTCCCTGCTAGTTTATCGAAATATTCAACGAATAATTCCACTGTGATGGTGCCTGCCGTGAGCTTCGAATTTTCCCATCTTGCATTTACTTTGGCAAATAAAAAAATCTATTTTATCTGGTGATAATTTTGTCACGCCCCGTTTCGAATGCCGACACTTTTTCAATGTATCAAAAATTAAACAATGAAGTGAAATTATATATTTCGAAATAGTAGACACTCCGCAGGAATTATCTTCAAAAGTTAGGGACGCAGACAAGGTTTCATGAAAGAAGAAACAGTGACGATAAGATATCAACGATTAGTTCACACATAGCTATACATATATATATAATAAAAATAGGTATCTGTGTGTCAGAATTTCACCATTTTGTTCAATCGTTAAAGAACTAATAGGAACGAAGTCACAATCATTAAGTAAAAATTACGTTCACAAAATTGCAAAGAACTGACAAGTTGTTGAATTTGGAAAGCTGCAGATCGATTCGCAAACAAAATGGAACGTTGGATCGTTTTGAAAATAGAAGAAGAGAAGTGAGACATTGTGCATTTTGGAAAAGGAAAAGAGAAGAGAAACGAGGGAAAGGGGAGGGGCGGGCGGGAAAAAATTGCAAAGCCGGTCGAACGTGTGTTTAATCAATACAAACCGACATGTTCCACGTTCGCGCTATTAAACCGATTATCCCGAAGGATTCCATGGGATTTCTGTCCTATCTTCGGAACACAACAGAAGCGAAATTTCGTTCTGAACTTTAAATATTGTGGGTGCAAATCGCCTTCGGTAACTGTTGTCCCACAGGGACGAAAGGAAACAGAACGGAACGTGAATGTTAACACGTCGCGGGCCACATGTACCGACGCAACTAGGGAATTACAAATAGACACAACTGAATATACCTACGAATAAACAAGCCGCGGAAGTAAATAAATAAAGGGAAAATTCTGTTCATACGTGGAAAATCTCGGAGTTTGGACAAAAATTCGCGTAAAAATCACGCCAGCCAGAGGAAGTGCGAGTGTGATTTGTCAGTGAATTAACCAATAAAGACTTTGCTCGAATGTAGTTCGTCAACTGCGTTTAACAACTTTGCGAAAATAAAGAGAAGTGAAAATCGGTGCGTAGGTTTTCTGCGATATTACCTGTAGAGCGTGGTTGCGCCCTCGCCAACATTTATTAAAATGGTGGAATTGTTCCGAGCCGTTTCTCGCGAGATTGACTTGCTACCGAGGTTGTAATTGAGATGCGGAATAATAGCGAACCGCTCGATGCTTTGTGTTACATCCTCTGGAAATTCCATCTAAACGCTCTCCCAAATAAACACAGTCGAAATTAATCGCGACCTAGACCGAGAGCAGATACTGACAACAAAAAAGAAACCGCGGTTTTCGTTCGTAAGTTTCAGATGATTGGAAATGATTAAAAAATTATCGAGTCATCGAAAGATTATTGCCTGATTTGAGACGCGTGTAAAAATGAGGACGACGGAATTGTAAGGTAAACGAAGAATTCAAGTTGCAACGAAAACCATAAAACGAAATCACTTTGATTCTCTGCAAATTTCACGCTCAATTAATTAAAAAAACTTACTCCGTGAGATTTGAATGAAGAAACTGTGAACTCTCAATCAATCGCGTAAACTCTTGCAAACGGTTTCAACAAATTCACCAAGTTTCATTGTTTTACACCAATGCAAAATTAAGACCGATTGATCGCTGGGGCTAATTGTTACATGTCGGAACGAAACGAAATGGCATCACAGTATTCATGAGCAGAAGCGTACGCAATGCAAGCGTTATTACCAATTAAATTATCTTACGACAAACCATCTATTGTACGCAGAGTTACAATGGAGCCATTTATTGAATTCGAAGTCCCGCGAGAAGAAAAGGATAAAAAGGGAACAAAACCAGCCCGGACAAATGGTGTCTTTTTAAAACAGACAGGCAATCACTCTTCGTTTCTAATCGTAGCTTGTTTGCGTTATCACGTGCGTGACCCTACCCCGGCTATCTGCCAAGCCTGGTGGGGAAAGTGAGCCCCTCTACGAGCGAAAAGGAGGATGGCAACTAATTGTCGCACACACACTGTCCGATCACTTGTCATTCGAGATCCAATAGTCACCGAGGGAACTTCGTTATACCGATTGTTCTCTTCCAGCGAACGATCCAGTGAGATACATATAACACGGGCAAGAAAAAAAGAAAAATATCCTCCAGTCGCATCGATAGTGTTAATTACCGTTAAATTCAACGATCGATATGGTCAGGTATAGAATTGATCTTCAAATTACAGTCAAAAGTGTCCTTTTCTCGTATCGATCGAGTGTCCGTGAGTCAGAGTGAATTCGTGTTCGCAGTGTATATCTTTGGCTGGTCACCTGTTGGATCATTCTGAATAAATTTTCGACAAGTATCGCCGCGCACGGCGATGATCATCGAGAGGAATGGGTGGTTAGAGTTCAAGGTGGATCCCAGATTGCATCCCTTTTGGCTTTGCAGAGCGGTTACAAGCACCTTGGCCCGGTACGTCAATCGATACATAATTTTACAATAGGCTAATGAAGGATTTCAATCTACATACGTGTTTACGGAAAATTTACCCGTCTTTTTCGAATTCGGTTGGTTTACGTACTCGAACTGTTCCAACGAATCCAACGGAAATTACGCCGGAAATTGTCTTTCTTTTTTTTTTTTTTTTCGTGGCGCTTGACGCCGCTGGTGGTGGTTTAATTTTTCAAGGGACGCGTGTTCCATAGAGTTAATATTTAAACGCGTTTTTTGTGAGGCGAAGAACGGGAGAAAAAAAGCGCGCTAGTGCTCGTTTCATGGAATATTCATCGGTAATCTCGGGAATAAGTTCGTCAACGTTACGTGGAACAGCTTTCTAGCCGTCTGAACATCAGGGGGGAGGAGGGGGGGGCGCACTGTGAGATGCAATTAAAACTTGAACAACTGCTTAATAACTTATTGTTAGCCACTTGTGCAACGCCCAATTCTAGTTTAACTTCGACCAAAGCACCATGCCATTGTAACTTAACTTTCGTGTTTATCTCAGACAGAAGTAGTCGCGGGCGAACTTCCTTCTCGTTGAACGGTAGGAAGAGAACCGGCCGGCGAATTTATTGCCGCGAAACCGAAATTATTCCTTGGGAAATCGACGAAAACAAAACCGACGTTGGCCCCGCTCAACGCCTCGCGAATTCAATCGTTCCAGAATGTGGCAAAAATACCCCGGCGAGGTCCCTTGAAATCTCTGTTATTTCAGTAGGAGACATTCAAAAATTCTGAAACGTTTGAAAGCAACCGAAACGAACTTGCCACGATGCGTTTTTAGAAATTTAAATAATAAAATAAAAGCTCGGCAGCCCTTTAATCCACTGTAGACTATTTTCTATTCTTTTTTAATTTCGATTTCTTCACTTTATTCGATAATTTTTTTCACTTTAGTCGATAATTGTAACATTCGTCATTGAAAATTTTTTTTTATAAATTAATAAAAACATTTTATAAATTCTGTAAACTTTAATATGATGCATACGTTTCTAGTAAAATTAATATTGATTTTCATCAGCTGAAAATTTGTAATTGTAATCATTCTTTCGCTTGTTCCTGTCAATTCTTTTGTTATATCCAAGTAATTTATTCCAACCGAACTCTGGATTATTAATTCCAATGGTAACGTTATTACTAGCCTTTGCAATTCAGATAATTACAAAATAATTGATCCAATGTAAACTATGTGGGCAATAGTTTAACCAACGAGAATACCCTCAAACGTCAAAAGATCCTAATCGATTTGCAAAGCAATTGAATTTAAAACGCGAAACACCAACAAGCACCATCGAGAAAACGCTCGAGTGCCCTACATCGAAACGAAACTAATTAATAGCAGCACTGGAAACGGTGCTGAACGACACCATATGCGATGTACAACCAGACGTTTTACACGTACGATAATCCGCAACGAGTCACTATAATCTCAAGTGTTCGATAAACAGCGGTGGAAAACGCGATTCGGTCGATCTCACGCGTGACGCAAACGCGGCGTGTCAAAAGAGTCGTGCGTTAGCTCTGGGAACCGGTGTATGTTACCGCAGTGAATAGCGATTATTGGTTCTTACGGCGACGCGTGAATAATTCACCTGAATGAAGAACGATCGATCAGATTACAACGATCGTGAAGAATTCCCACCGATTTTCACAGACCAGAGGGAAAGATCGTCCACTTTGTCCCGAAAAAATAGAAGATACAGAAAGAAGGGAGGGATATTTCTTTGCTCGCCCGAGATTCCCGAGGCGTAATTGTTGCTGTGAAATTGCAGGAGCAATTCGGATACCCTGAGCAAACTTTCAGCGAGAGAATATTTTACCGTTCGCAGGGGCGAAATTTCTGCTGGCCTCAGCCTCGAACGTTTTATCGATAAATAATATTTACATATAATTCCGGTTTAGCGAGCACCGGTGTAATTCCTCCGGAGCTGATGCTTTTTTCGAACCCTGTCCTTTCAATTCCGGAAATGAGAATAATTGAGAGGCGAAGAAATACAGAGCGGTGGAAAGTCTAGAACGAAGGACAAAAGAGCACTCGCGTAACAAGTCGCGTTTCTCGTTGTTTGTAAAAGAGCAGCGTTCAAATTCAATGTGTCGAAATCGTCCTGATTTTGAGATTAGGTACGTGTTTCTATTTCTCTTTTAAAAAGTAAAAGATTTAATGAGGAAACATTTCAATACATTTTTTTAAATAAAAACCACACTAGACAACGTCTAGGGCTCTTCAAATCGACTTCCTGCATTAACAATGACCATCTAGCCTTTCAGAAGCTAAATTGATGAACTCTACATTCTACAAAGTAATCACTTTCACATCAGATGGTGATACGTGATCGACGCTCGACGCTTCAAAAATCATTGCAAGTTGCGAAAGCAATAGCGATATTCCGAGTTTTTAATTTATGGGATTGCTTCCGATAATGCTCCCTCAAAATCAAAAAAAAAAAAATCAGAAACAGACGTTTCTCTGTTCACTTCCTTATCAACTATCGCGAACATCGGCACGAAGAATCGCTTCCGGAACGTTTGTCTGATCGACGATGATCGCGATGCACCGCGAGGGAACAGGAGGAGCGGGCCAGAAGCGACACGGAAAGGAAACAGGAAAACGACGACGATCGTCTAAACATCGGGGCCGGTTCGGGGGAGGGCAGAAGGGGAAAGATACGGCCTGGCCCGATATCTTCTTGGTCGATGGACGTTTTCTCTCGCGCGACTTGATCTCAAGGCAGAACTCGTTTTGCAAAGTGCACGAGAGCCTCGAAGAAGAAGAGGAGTAGAAGAGAGATAGAGAGAGAAGAAAAATAGAAAAGAGAAAAAAGAGAGAGAGAGAGAGAGAGAGAGACCGACCACGGGAGAACGAGATCTGGCCGATGTCTCGGCGAATCTCGACGCGGAAACGGAGGGAGAGAATGGCTGGAACGAGCGATCAAATGGTTCGTGAGGCTTGCTTACCGAGATAATCTCTTTGCAGCGATCCGTGCGCCGTTGGGGAAACGATTTGGCCGCACTTTTTCCACGCTTTCCATCCTCCCGCCCCTCCAGCGCCACATTCACGTCTCGCTGGATCCCGAAGGCCTGAAATACGTTTACGCTTTCGCGCAGATTTACCAGGCCAACGGAAACAGCAAGAGAAGGAGGAGGCGAAGGCAGAGGTAGCGGAGGAGTTGCTTGGAAAAATGTACGGGATTCGCGTTCAAAGGCACGGGAGAAGCTGGGGAAAATTCCTGGAGTGAACGGGAACCCTCTCTTTCCACGCGTATTTGACTGGGGCTACAAAGCGGAAACTTCTTTCGGCGAAATTGAGACGCGTCCGTGATCTTCGAATAACGACGACTCTCTTCGCTCGTGCCACCTCTTTCTCTCTCTCTCTCTCTCTCTTTGTGAGTTTCACCAGGTAACAACTTGGCGAAAGTAACGACAGGGCCTATGAATCGATGTTTATCTATGTTTTTTTTTTTTTTTTCTTTTCTTTACGAGAGCCGTGCCGTAAATACGATAACACTTAAAGTGAGCAGTATGATACGGTTTTGCCCAAATTGCGCGGATAGACGAGAATTTGTTGTGTCAAGATGAATCTAATAATAATAGGAGAGAATTTTTCGTTGGGCGCGTCGTATCGTGGAGATGAAACTTTATTTGAAGAAACGAAGAATTGTAGAAAGTGTACTTATCTTGGTGGAAGTGTGATGAAATTTTCAGACATGTTGCAGTCGAACGTTATATTCGCAATTGAATTCGTACAATTCGTATATCAATTTGAAAGAATCTTTCTATAGCTTATACAAGAAACAACGTACTCGAAATATCAAACACCTCCAGATATCAATTTCTTCCATTACGCAGAACTCTAAAGAGACCCGGAATCGCCCTGCATTATCCAACAGATAACTTTCTAAGGAAAATAAATTTTATTGGAAACAAGCAACCATTCGCGCACTTTCTCCCGATTGCACGAGTGCATACACACACGTGCAACGTTCTTAAAAGCTTCTCCAGGCACGCTTTTTATTATAACTTTCATCTCTTTATCAATACGGTGGCTGACCCAAATAGACCGGCATGAAATTGCCAGCAACCTCGCCACCGAACAGGGGGCTTTCCACCCTCGTGAAAGAAACGCACGTGTGCTCAAACCACCCATTGCCCGACGTACGCGTGAAAAGTTTGATCCACTTTCTTCCCCCGCGGGGAAGACGTCGGGCTTGAACAGGCGCTACCTCGTCGCATCACGATCGTCGCAATTACCATAATCATTTTTTCGTGTCTGCAGAAAAGTGACGCGTGTTCCTCTTCTTCTTCTTCTTCGTCTTTCTTCTGCCACCTTTTTTCCTTCTCCCGTTTTGAACATCAACCGGCATAATACAAGTGGCAGCACGCTGCATAATTACGCTAACAGAGTGACTCTCCTTTTTCAACCGCTTTGCCGCGGCGGTCCGCGTGGCCGCGCTGCCGGGTACCGTCAACCCAGTCGAGCACTCAGTGCTTGTGCGCCCGCGAAACTGCATTCCCCTGCAGCTTGCAGCCCCCGACTGGCGCAGTTGCAGCTGCACAAGCAGCCTCGTGGCCGACCGCAATCCAACGGTGAGCGCGATTCACGTGCCCTCACTCGCTCGTATATTTTCCAGTCACGTCGTGTAATTATTTCGTATAATTAAGCTCACGTGGTCTCTCTTCATCTCTCTCTCTCTTTCTCTCCCTCTCGGCTTTAAACGGCGAGAAAGGCGCAACGACGTAGCGAAAAAACCGTTCGAACTGCGCCTTTCTCCTTTTCCTTCCTTTTTTCCTTTCGCTACTGACCCAACGCAGAAACGCAAGCCGGGAGGTGACTTGCTGTCACCTTGAAATCTTGTAATCTTGGAATTGGGTTATTCGGGCTTTTGATCGGGTAGGCGAACGCCTTTTGCGTACTCGCGTTAAAAGTAAATTCACTGTAGAGCTACTGATGGCAAAGGTGAATTTGTGTAAGTTGA